AGAGCCGGGGCCTGGCATTGACCATGGCAGAGCTCCCCATCCTTTGGGGACACCTCATCCCAGACAGCCCTGCCAGCCTGCACGAGACTCTGTTCCTCACCCAGCAGGGCTTGGTGGTAACCAATAAAAGATGCAGCTGTTTGTCCAAGGAGATAGGGAGAAGGGACACCGAGTCATGGAATCATAGAATTGTTTAGGCTGGAAAAGCCCTTTAAGATCACCAAGTCCAACTGTGTCCCCCAGCACTACCAAGGCCACCACCCCAAGTGCCACATCCACACAGCTTTTAAACCCCTCTAGGGATGATAATTCCACCACTGCCATGTGCAACCTGTTCCAGTGTTTGATAACCCTTTATGTGAAGAAATTGTTCCTGATAAGCAATCCAAAGCTCCCTGGCACAACTCGAGGCTGCTTCCTCTTGTCCTGTGCCTTTTTCCCTGGGAGAAGACCCTGACCCCCACCTGGCTCCAATCTCATTTCAGGGAGTTGTAGAGACTGAGATGATCCCCTCTGAGCCTCCTTTTCTCCAGGCTGAGCCCCACCACTCCCTCAACCTCAGACTTGTGCTCCAGCCCTTTCCCAGCTCTGCTGCCCTTCTCTGAACACACCTCAGCCCCTCAATGTCTTTCTTGTCATGAGGCCCCAAAACGCACACAGGATTCCAGGTGTGGCTTCATCAGCACCAAGCACAGGGGGACAATCTCTGCCCTGATCCTGCTGGCCACACTGCATGGTCATAACATACTGAGCATTTGAGCTGCACACAAAAGTAGGCTGAAGAGTTCTGTCTCCATAAGAAAAATACCAAGAGGCCTTCAGTGGCACCAAAGAAAGGCACTGAAAATCATTAAAAAGCCCATTTTTTTTCTTGCAAACTCTCACAGCCCTGGTACTGACTGCCACAGAGCCACTGCTGAGCTGTACCAGGATGTTGAAAGGACAGGCATTTAATAGGAATAGTTATGAAAACTAATAAAGAATTTTGGAAAGACTGCTTAAATCCATAAACAAACCAGCCAATGGTTACTCAGGGTTAGGAGTCAGCTGCCTTCGGTTTTCCTGCACGTTGGTTTGGTGCAAAGCTTGTTTGAAACGGGAGCGTTTCTGAGGGTTGGAGGGAGGTGGTGCTCAAACTGCTTGTGAGAAGCTCCCTCTGCTGAGAAATCCAAAGTATGTTCAGTCATCCTGAAGGAAAAGCCTGTAGGGGAACGTGGTGTCCCTCTGTTTACCTGATGGTGCTCAATTGACCAGTTTCCAGATGGGTTTTTGTTGAAAGGTATTTATCAATGGGATTTCTATTGCCCAGGACCTGTTTCTCAGGTTTCACAAATGTTTCATGTGAGGGAGTAGAGATGTGTGGTGGCTTGAAGAGGAGGAGGGCAGAGGGTTTGGTACAGCAGCTGTAGCTGGGGTGGCCCTTGGGAAATCAGTCAGAAAGGGAAGATGAATTTTTAGTTACTTTAGAAACTCCCAGATAGCTCTCAGGGGAAGTGGAACACCAACTGAAAGCTTAAGCAAGGTTAGATTGTTAATGCTATTTTAGGTGTAGGTGGACCCAGTGTGGAAGGACTTCTTTAACATCCGTGGTGGGGAAAGCCCTCCATGTGGATTGGTCCACCCTGCCCAGCACACTGAGTCCTTGAGGTGACTTTGCTCTTCTTCCTTGCCTTCCTCTGTCCTCTCAAGGCTGCAGCCACCCTGCTCACACTGGGAAGGGCTTCACCAAGAGAAGGAATAACCAGTGCTGCAGGAATCAAGGATACCTGGGCTGTAGCCCATGTGCTCTGATACCAATCATGTCACAAGGCCTCACTCCTCTGGTGGTGAGCTACTGTAGGTGTCTGGTGGGATCCAGCACCACCTTGGGGGGAAGCAGATGCAGGATGTGAAGTGAAATTGGGAATACTAATGATGTCAGAGCGTGTCCTGCCCTTCAGTGGCTGTGCTCTGCATCAGGAGGAAAGGTCAGCTGCTGGTCAGCACGTTCACAGAGCCACCAAAAAAAACCCCAGTGCTGCAGAATGTACTAGAGCTTTGGTGTATTCTCTGTGATGTGCATTAAATCCAGCTTTACAATTGCCTCTGAAGGGATACCCTGTCTGGGATTTATAAAAATAATCACTTGTCAAAACAGAGAGCCAGACTGGGAAAGGAATTCAGCCTTCCCTTCACTGTCACCAGGGTAGTGACAATGCTCTGTGGCAGAAATGAAATGGCTGGGGCATGGCAGCGGGTGTGGAGAGGTTGTTACTGAAGAACTTGGGGTTCCAGCACTCAAACTACAGGCTGAGGGAGGTCCCACTTCTCTGGGTGAGCAGTGGGGACAGTGAGCTCATGGCAACCATCAGTTGGCTTTACAGCCGTGAGAGTGAGGAGGAGAAGTGGGTGAAGAAGCTGTGATGCTCCCCTGTCTCCTTCTGTTGGTGAGATCCTGGGGACACCAACTGTGCTGGGCATCAGAAACGAGCTGCAGTCACTGAAAGGCAATAAATGCATTATTCCAGACTCATGGCAACATGGACATAAGTGCCAATGGCTTCCAGGGTGCTCAGGGTGAACTTTGTCACAAAGGCACTCCCCACAACTGGTGGGGAGTGACTGCAGGGTACCCTCTCCCCCCACCTGCCCCTGGAATCTTCTTGCTTGGAGTGGCAAACGCTGTGGGAACATGCAGGAATCATTTGGTGATGGTGAAGGCTTGCCAATGTCACCAGAGGAAAACACTACAAGTTGTTTTTCTGTACAGACCAAATTTTCCTCCCATTTTCAGCTCCCAGCAAACCTGCCAGTGTGTTTAGCCTCCCAGTACTAGATGTAGTTGCAGGCCCTTTTACTCCAAATAAAGCTAAGGCTTGCACTGCCTTGGCTGTGGCCATTCTCTCTGTCTGGTGCTGTCACTCTATCACCTGTCTGCTTTCATTTATTTCAACATTTTAAAAATTTCATGGGCCCACTCCCATATGATGTAAACTGATAAAACTCCAGGCTATGCTCCAAAAACATCATTGCAACTGTAGGATGTCTCCCTTTGGGTTTACTTACTGATGCCAAAGAAAAATAGGAAAGCTGTGAGCAAAGCAAAAAAAAAAAAAAAAAAAAAAAAAAAAAGGAAAAGGATGGAGTTTAAGATGTTGGTTATATAAGAGCTGTATAGCTGTTAAAGCCACCTAGCATATCCTTTTAATAAACGAAGAAATTGCAGCCAGATAAGTTAATAATTAAGGGTGACAAAAATATACCATTGTTCCAATAATAAGGAACTGTATTGGTCTTACCGAAGATAAATGGAGGCGTATTTAACGTGGTTCAGTGCTATGCTGATAGACTACAAATGTCCTTTTTTTTCACTAGAAAACTCAGTATGAAATCAGGTCGAAAGCTGATTGCCAGTATTTGTTCCCTCCATGTTGCTCAGCTCCTTTCAACAGCAGATGTGCCTTGGAAGCGACTCCCACGTGTATGGAACGGAGCAGAAGGAAGCTGGAGGCTTTGAGAAGAGGTTCCTGCCCCTTTCTGTGGAGAAGAACAAGATGTGCTCCCATGTGTGGATCATCTCATGGAGATACAGTACAATTTTCAGGCTGAGGACTGGATGAATTGACTGGTCCTCAGCTCTGCAAATCAGTGGCTGGAAGAGGTGTCTGCACAGAAGGTGATGAGGATGTGATTGCTCAGTTTCCTTTAATACAGGAAATTTCTGTAGAATCCAGCTTGGCAGACTTGTTTGGAGCCATACCTAGTAAAATGAGTCAGCAATTTCAGTACCTTCTCACACAACCAAACCCCAGTTTTTTGTACTTCCAGTAGGCATCAAAATATGATTGCTGCAGCACCCTGTCCATGGGGAAGAGTGGTCTTTAAATGCCCACCCACAGAAACCCTGTGACTCACAAATAAATCTGAGAATGGGTAAATGGTAAACTCATGGTAAACTCCAGGTGCACTTCCAACCCCTCATGTGCTGAGCTGCAGACTCAGCTGCTTTCTGTCTCCTCCTGCCTTCTCCATCCTTGGCAAGGCCCATTTTCTTTTTAACAGGCTGCTTAAGGAAAACATTGAGAAATCAGCCAGCAATAAACCACTGTCATCCCAGATCAGTTAATTACCATTATCTATGGTATCAGCCCAGAGTCTGTAATAAGCTCTGAACTTTTATTGCACTGAAGTGTCTGCTTAAATCCAGGCTAATGAAAGTTATAGGACTGGGATGGATTTCCCTCATGCTGGAACTGGCAGAGTGAATCAGGACAGGAGAGTTTCATCCCTCTGTGAGGCAACCAAGAGCTGACACTTCTCTGGCACAGGAGAATTGCCAGGGGAGGAAAACCACACCTTTTCAAATAAGTAGACAAAGAAAAGGAGAGGATACATTTTGGGGAGGAAGATTAACTCTCTGGATCCTGGGTGGCTTCCCAGGGAGGTTGAGCAGGGAAGCCTGTGTTCTCCATGTGGGATGGCAGGTCTCTGTCTCAGGGGTGCTGCTCATGGGTGCTTTCTGTGAGGTCCTGTCGCAGTCTGAGGTGCTGATCTAAGTCAGCTGCATATGGTAGATGGAGACCTCTCTTTTCAGTCTGAAGGTAACTAACGTAGGCAATGTCTTCCAGCAGTTTCATCCCATGCATCTTTGCAAATGCCTGTTACTCACATTCACATTCCCCTCTTTCTTCCAAGTCAGTACTGAATCAGTTTTTCTCTTACAGACTGAGGGAAGAGATGGGAGCAACCTGCTCATAAACCTCCATAGGAGAAATCTCCTGCTAGTGCTGCTCCTTTCAGGCAGAAATCAGGAGAACATCATCAGGAGAACATCATCAGGAGAACATCAGGAGCGGGGTCTCCTCAGAGCCTCACACTGCAGAGCTAACCAGAGTGCGAGGCAAATTCCCCACTGAGGGAGCTGTGGCACTGGAGATGAGTGTTGACATCCTCTGACTCTTTTAATGCCATTACAGAGAAGCTGCAGCCTGTTATTTCCCAAACTCACCTCCTGTCATTTCTTGCAGAGTTCCAAATTGTCTTCAGTTACCTAGAAACCTGTGTAAGGAGATGTAAATGTTCTGGGTTAAAGCAAGGCAAGCTGTGCGGGCAGGAATCACAGAGCTCTTACTGGATCAACAGCTGGTGTTGCAGATGAGCTGTGAAGAAAGCAGACAGGCTTTTGGGCACAGCAGGGCACCAAAGGCATCCCAGGTGAGTATTTCACTGAATTAGAAGGGAATTCCTTGCAGGTATCTCGTACAGACTCTTTGATGTCAGTGTGCATGCAAGTGTGCATCTGCTGCATCAAATGTCCTGGGAATGCTGCTCTCCTGGATCCTTAAGTACTTTAGATTTGGAAGGAAGTTAGGCCTGTAGGTAAGTTACTTTTGTGGTATGGTAAATCCTCTATGAATCCTTTGCTGTATTGTTTGGCTTAACTGACAACATGAGTTAAATCTCTTAGGTTTAAGTGCTGTTAAGTTTAAGTGCTGTTTATTGAAGAACTGCTGTGCCTTTAGGATGTATTCCTTTTTATCCTTACTGTCTCCTGTCGTTTTGTCTCCCCCTCCCCAGCCCAGCCTTCACATAGCTAATGTTGTGTTTCTATCAGTTTGGATTGATTGGATTTTTTGTTTGCTTTTTTTCTCTCTGTCCTTTGACCATTAGTAAGTAATAGAGTGAACCTTGCCAGCAAACTTCACTGTGCTGTCGCTTTTATATTAAATCTGTTTTTGCTGATACCTTAGCTGGTGATTCTTTAAGAAACCTCCTCTCAGCCATTCCTTGTGTATCTCCCCAGGCTGTCATGCTTCCAACAAAATGTTTGCAAGGTTTGCTGGCAGCATTTTAATCCTCAGCCACTTCCCAGCACAGCACACTGATGTGAACAAGTGCTTGTGGGCAGCCTGATGCCAAGGCAGGCAGTGGGATAATGCAGGGCCACTGGAAAAGGAAAACAGCTGTGGAACATCTGGGACAGATGTGTGTTGGCCACCAAGGGCTTCACATGTGGTGGCAACCAGAAGAGCTAGATGGCTGCTCCACCCTGTTTCTCTAAAATTTGTAATTAATGCTGCTTTGAGCTTCTCTTTTGCATTTTTGTGCTGAAAAATAAACAAAGCCCAACCCATTCCCTGCTCCCTGGAGAGCTCTGCAATGGCTGCATGCAGCAGACATGAAGAAGCACCAGGTCTTGAGGATGTCAGCATAACTGTGGTTCATCTCACACCTTGTGTTGAGTTAACTGGGAAGCAAATTTAGCCAATTTTGTGTTTAATCAAAGTTCTTGCTGCTCCTTTGAACATCAGCATTTGGAATCAAGGATATACAGGAGCTCAGCTATCTGATGTGTGGAGTAAAGCAAGCTGCTGCTGTGTTTCAGCAGCCAGGGCATGTCTCCATAGCTCTCTCTGCTCAAGTGTGATGGATGTGACTGACATCAGGCTTGACTGAGGAGCCTACAGGGCTGGAAATCAATGTTTCCTCACTGCAGCTCACACTCCAGCAGAGCTGCAGCAGCTGTGGCATGTAAAACACGCTGCATGGTGGGTTACCCACGTGTAACACAGCCGTGCTGCCTCTTCATGGAGAAAGAAAGAAGCTCAGACACGGGGCTTCCCTGAAGCAAAAATCTCCAGGAGCTCAGGGAAAGTTTTGTCTGCCTAAAGGCTGAGCTGAGGCATCAGGATTTAACTCTTTTCTTCCCCCAGCCCTTGTTGGGCAAATTTCTAATCCTTTTCAGGTTTTGTTGGAAAGCTCCTAAAAAGCTCCTTCTGTCCTCATCTGCAATACAGAAATTTCCATTATGGAAACCCAAAGCTTTATAATTCCCATTTCTCTACAAAACAGCCCCAAGAGGAGTTGGCACCTCAGCCAGGTGCTCCTGTACTGACACAAGTCTCAGAGAAGGAGCTGAAGGAATTTGAGAACGTTGCTTGTCCATAAAAAGCCTCTGTGGATGATGCTATCTGTACTTTCAAAGTCCCTTTCCAAAACTTTCCACCACAGTTGTGCTCCTCAGTGTGGTGCAGATTTACAGGCTTCTGGCTGGGACATCATTACAGCTGAGTAAGCAAACATTTAAAACACTCAGAGGTTTTGGGTCCAGTGGCTTGCTAGATGATGGACATAGCTAGTGGAGGAACCACAACAGAAAATTATACTAAACAACTTCATACACATCTTGTTCTTCTATTATAATTCAAACTCAGTAAAGCCATTGGAACTAAATAATAAGATATATTACAAAGTACATATTATGGTACAAAAAGGACTTTGGCATTCAATAAAGTCTTGGGTCAAAACCACAGCTGGTCTGCAGAAGGAATACTTCTAGGTGAACTAGCCAGAAAAACCACACACCACTTTGAGGTCAGGGGGCTGATCCCCTTTCACATCCAAATGCTTGGCATTTCCTGATGGAGACCACAAAGGAGGGCTCCCAAACCCTCCAGCTGCCCATGCAGCAGGACCTCCACAGGGACATGCATGTCCAGCTGCAGGTTCAACCCCAAAGGACACCGGCGAGTATTGCCTCATGTGAAGATGTAGGGCAAATATTTTCAAAGCCTGGGTTTGCTGACTGGATTAAGTAGGAGTGCCTGAGCCAGTATATCAACTTGCACGACTAATTAGGCATTTTAAGAAGATGCAAATTAAGGCAAAGATAAACAGCAGGAGATTTCTCCTATGCTTTCCACGTGCTGGATGCCAGAACTCTCTCCCATCTGCACATCCTCATGGCATCCTCATGCTGCAGCCCCTTGTCAGCCTGGCAGGCTGCACTCAGAGTCCAGGAAAACACAAGGTGTGTGCCAGCCCCTGGGAATGGCTTCTCCATGGATCTGGGAAATATGGACACCTCATACCTGCAGAGATGTGACCCCTGAAAACACATCAGTGGATCTTTTGTGACTCTGTCACAGGGGATGTGACTAGAGGTGCTTGCTGGGGGCAGCTGGGCATGGGGTGAGTGTCCTGTGTGCCAAATCACTGATGGACACCTGTGGCCTGGCCCAGGTGCCATAAGTGAGGATTCTGTCAGTGAACCTGTTCTCTGGACTTAGTGCATCCAAATTCATTCTTGGCTTGGTGCTCTTGGTACCACCCATCCCGTCGTGACAGGGCACAGAGTGCATGCATCTGCACACAGACACCCCTAATGAAAAAGCTGGATTATTTATCTTGATTATACAGGGAAATGCACTATTTTACATGTGATTTGCTGCAGCAGCAAAATTAGGTGAACAATGAAACAAAAAGCAGCATTTTTTTGTGCCAGCAGTGTTGCTCAGGCTCAGCATCCTTACCTGGGGGAGGCAATTACTGGAACAATCTCCTTCCCCGTTCCTCCTTTGTTCTTGTTCTTGCAGGGGCTGTAACTGTCTTTTATATCTCCTTGTTTTCTCCACTGCAGTTTCACCATACATGGGATGTTTCACATATTTTGCACAGATATTCTGTCTTTATTCTGGAGAAGCCTTTTCCCTGTGCCCCATATTGCAGCACCTTCTCCACCTGCAGGAAAGTTCTTAGAGGGGTAAAATGCATTTTGGCCAAGGTGCTGGTAAGCAGACAGAGGTGCTGGTACCACTGACCACTTCCAGCCTCTGCCTTGTGGTGGAATATTTGCCCAGCCCCCTGGGCAAGGCAGAAGGTTATGGGTGATTATGGGGCTGAAAAACTAGTGTGCTGGCACAAAGCCATCTCACTCTGCAGCCCTGTGCTGGGAAAAGCATGGAGACATGCACTGACACCACCTTAAAGTGCTTCAGATGCTGTTTGACAATCACATTTCAGTTAAATACAATATCTGAGCAGGTAAGGAACAGAAAAAGTTGTCTTATTATCATTTGATAGGGTGACTGCTGATTCACAGTGCCTCCACATCACTAAGTGCTGGCCTTGGGGACCCCTGCTCCATTCTCCTCTAGGATAGAGACCCAACCTGCTGCAGGGCCACTCCTGTGTGAGCCAGCCCCCTGTGTGCCTCAGTTTGCCATTTGTGACACTCCACAGTGGCTACAGGTAAATGGAGCTCTACACACAAACGTTCTCAGGTGGGTTGAGTGACTTCTAATAATGTATGAAGCAGACATGAATTCCACAGTGGGGCTTTGCATCAGTCCCTGCAGCATGTGCAGGTAAACCTTGAGCTGGTTTTGAGCTGGTGAGATGAGCTCCAAGCAGTGCAGGAGCAGCAGCCCAGGGTATCCATAGAAATGGCTCTGCCTGCCAGTGATGCTCAGCTGCAGCCCAAGGGCATTGTGGTGTGTCTGTGGGTCTGTGGATGTGTGAGATGAGCAGCCATAGCACAGCACGGTACAGCAGCTCTTGGTCAAATCTCCCTCCAGCTCCATGACGAGGAATTGTGCCTGAATCCAGATGCTGTCGTACTGACCATCCTGAAATTCAGAGCACAGCACCCTCAGCTTGTTTAATATCCAGATGTCCTGAGTGCTGCAGGGTAATTGTTTTAAAGTAAAAAGGGTTGACTTAGATTAGCTATAAAGAAAAAAAAGAAAAAAAAATTTTTTTATAGTGAAGTTGATGAAACACTGGCATGGAGAGGTGGTGAACACCCTATTCCTGGTAACATTCAAAGCCAGGTGAGATGGGGCTCTGAGCAGCCTGATCTAGTGGACGATATCCCTGCTGGTTGCAGGTGGGTTGGACTACATGGCCCTTAAAAAATCCTCCCAAACTCTAACCGTTCTATCCCAGGAATAAGGAAAAGAGACAGTTTGGCACAGAGGTGAGGAGAGCTGAAGCGGTCACAAAGCAAGGCTGGGGCAGAGACGCCGGGCTCTGCATCCCGAACTCCCGGGAGGGACGGGACGGGACGGGACGGGAGCGGGCTGCGGGGAGCCGGGAACCGCCGTACCGTGCCGGGAGGGAGGGAGATAGGGAGGGAGCGGCGGTCCCTGCCCGCCCCCGGCCCCGCCCGCCCCGCGGGCTCGGCGGAGCCGCCCGGGCCGGAGCGCGGCGGCGGCGGCGGCGGCGGCTCGGTGAGTGCACGGGGGACCGGGCAGCGGCGGGACACGGGCACCCCCGGCCGGGACAGAGCCCGACAGGGGCCGCGGGGCGCTGGGGGACACCGGGGCTCGGCTCCGTGCTCGGCAGGCTGAGCGCGCCGGAGTTCTCGGGAGCTCTTCCCAAAGCATCGCTGTCACTTTGATTTGAATGGGGGACAAACGCTCCGTGGTGATTAGCGCATCAAAATAGCGAATTTGGATGCAGGCAGGAAGGGATCTCCCCAAAGACGCGCTCACGCTTTGTTTGGTGCATCTCTGCCCGGCGTTCTTCTGTGATTAAAGATCTCCAGCCCCGCACGGAAGGACGGTCTGTAAGTGCCGTGGAGGTGGATTTCTGCTTGATGGCGGTGGGAGAGGTTCAAAACTCTTTTCTCTTCTCGTGTTGCTTGAAAAGAGCGTTTTTCTGAGTAATGCTTAGTAGACCCTATGAATCACCATCTGCATAACTTTATATGGGGGCTGCTATTCTCAGCGGCTCACTGGAACTATGTAAACTATCAACATTATCTGTTTGTACATGCAACGTGCAAATCTATTCCCCGGAAAACTATTTCAGAGCAGGTCAGAGAAAGAGACGGGGGCAGAACAAAATGTCAGGGGGGCTCGGAGAGTGGGGAAAGACATTGGAGAGCCGGCAATTGCTGGGGCTCCGTGAAAAGGTGTGCTGGGAATGCTCATGGGGAGGGAGATGCTGAGAGCCCCGGGAGAGGCTGCGGGAGCCTCGGGTCCTGCCCCAGCCCCGCACCTCGCTCCCTGCTCCTTCAGACTCTTCTTCCAGCGCTTGGTGTGCTGAGAAAACACCGCCAGTCTTTCAGAGAGGCTCAGGAGAGCTGTGGCAGCCCCAGAAGGGGCTTTGCAATGTCACCCAGCGGTGGCAGTGCCACCAGCGCGGCGGAGCTGCCCCCGCACAGGCGCTGCGGGAGCTCCCTGCGCTGCGCTGGGTTCGTCAAGAGACAGAAGAGTTTATTCTCTCGAGCTGTCAATCCATCACCTCCACCATCGGAGGCTTCTCCACCTTCCCTCCGCCTCCCCCTCGCTGCCAGCTCTCCCAGATGTGCTCAGTGCTGGACGCTGCAAAATTCCCCGTGCCCAGGCAGGAGAATCGCAGCATCTCCTAAATCTCACCTGGGAATTCAGAGCATCTCCCAAACCTCACCAGGCTGACCCAAGAATGAGGAGATTGTTTTTTGCAGGAGGTGAGCATTTCAACTCTTGGTGCAGGTTCAGTCCAGTGTTTCATCTTGGGGTGCCCTGACATTTCCACGCAGCTGGATTGAGAGTTTTGCTGTAGGGGTTTTCTGGGTGATGTTTTTTTCTCTAAACAATTCACTGAAATTTCTACATGAAAACACATTGCTGTCCAAAGGAGCTGCATTCACAGGTCAGTGGGATCCTTGTGCTCTCCTAAGCATCTCCTGCTGCAAGGCAACCTGAGTCCAGCTCTCCTGCTGTGTCCTGTTCATGTTCAGTGATGGTTTGGGGATCCTGATCCCTGACAGCCTCTGATGCCATCTCCAACAGTCTCTTCTCCACCCCAGCTCAGCCAAGCCCCTGCTGTTCAGGAGGGAGCATCCAAACATGCCCCCCATAGCAGAGGGAAGCTCTGCCTTTTCTCAGCCCAGGAGCATGACTGCCTTCCCAGCAGGTGGCCACAGCTGATGACCACTGGCCACAGCCAGCCCAGGTGGCATTTTGGGCTTGTGACCCTGGGACAAAAGCTGGAGTGAGCTGTTGGGGCTCCCACTCCTTCAGCTTTCCTAAATCTCACTCCTCATCAGATTCCTTCATTAAATGTCGGTTAGATCAGATAGTGTTTCTTTCAGTACAAGGTAATTTGGCTTTCCATTAAGTGGGCCCATCTGATAAATACCAGCTTGAAATAACATAATTCCACCTGACCTTGATGACACCGAGTCCATGCTGGACTTCTGCTCTGCACTCCCAGATCTCAGGGTACAATTTAAGACCCCTCTGTAGGAGATGAGCCCTGCCTGGAGGAGTGGAGACCAAAGCCACCACATGATGGTCCTGTTACTGACACACAGGCACAGTGATGAAGGCAAAGGTGACAGCTAAGTGGGTCATCCATCTGTCCACCAACCTCTGCTTGAGCTCCTCCCCTGTCCTGGCCATCCCTCATGTACAGCTCTCTGCTGGCACTGCCACCACGACAAACCTTCACAGTGGAGTCACCCAGGACTGAATCTCTTTGGGGGTGTTGGTGCTTAATTCCCACATGGTCCAAAGCTTTTTGTCCACTGAGAAGTGGGAGCTGAACCTGCATCTTCCTGCTGGGCAGTGAGCAGAGGGCATGGGAGGGACCACTCTGCCTCCCTGGTTAGTTGGGAGCTGGGGATGCACAAGCTGAGGGAGCAGATGTTTGCTGTTTGCTGGAGAAAGCAATGGGGACTGAGATCAGCAAGCAGTTCCCCCTCCCCAAGTTTTCCAGCACCAGGGAATCTCTCTGCATGACATTTAGCTGAGAAGGGACATCCAGCAGGAATATGTGGCATTACCTCACCTGTTTGGTTGTCAAACCAATCCCAAACCTGATAGGGAGGGTGAAGATGGTAATAACACCTGCAGGATCAATCTTGACAGGAACTTGAGAACGTTTGCACTGGAGCTGACCCAGGCAAGCAAAGTTTTGTGTGCCAAACTTCATGTGGATAAAGATTTAGCAGATTTTTCCAATGTCATCGGTTCTGGAGGAGAAAACAGGCACACTGAGACACACTGATAATTTGGAAGTGATGACATCTTGAATTTATGTTCCTCTCTCTGACCTCTTCCATAAGCCATGCTTAGAAAACCCAGGAAACCCAACTGGCATTCCTCCAAGTCTGGGAGGAAGGCTGGAATAAAACCCAAAGCCAAGAGCTATGAAAGTGCCTGGAGCTGGGGTGTCCGTCCTGCCTTTGTGCTGCTCCTTGAAAATTGGGATGTTTTTATGAGGCTGTTGGGAAGTTTATGGGTCCAACCTGGTGCTGACTTTGCTCCTCCCAAGGGCTTTCCATCTGAGATGGAAATGCAATTTCCACCTTTTGATGGAATTGTTATCCATCAAATGGATGGAAATGCCCCTTTTGATGGATAACAATAACGGCAAAAGGGGCTGCAAGCCCCGAGGACCTCCCCACTCAGTCTTCCATGAGCTTCTCCTGCAGGTCTTCCATGAGCTTCTCCCTTTCCAACCTGGCACTTTTCTTGTCTTACAGGCTCTCTCATGCCTTGCCTCGCTCTTCTCCCCTCCTAAACCCTTCTCCTGGAGGATGGCAGCCGCCTCTTTCCGCTACGGCCTGACCATCACGGGGGCCGTGCTGCTGGTGACGGGGACGCTGTGCTTTGCCTGGTGGAGCGATGGCGAGGTGGGCTCCGGCAGCGGGGCTCGTCTCCTGCCTCCCCGGGAAGCCGAGGCCGTCCCCAGCTCCTCCTCCTCCTCCAGTGCCCTGCTCCGCTCCATCAGCTTCTTCTGCTGCGGCATCGGCGGCATCCTCCTCATCTTCGGCCTCCTGTGGTCGGTGAAGGCCAACGCCAGGGTGGTGTCCCGGCGCTACCAGTACCATTTCCCCAGGGACCTGCAGTACTTCACGGCTGAGCCTCCAGAGAAGTGGAACTGCAGGTGGGAGCCTCGTCCCTGCCAGCGCTGGGGTGGGCAGAGGTGGAGGATGGGTCTGGCTGTCGCTGATCCCAGCCTGGTGGACTCACAGAGGCAGCAACAGCTCTGCTCTGTGCTCTCCTCCTGCCCCCTGAGCAATGCTTCTGCTCATTAATGTCAACCCGAGCCCCACAATCCCCTCTGTGCCCACCCCCTCCATGCCCGCTGCAGCTCTCCTTGCCCTGCAGGGCCATCACATGTCCTTAGCAGGGCCACCAAGCAGAAGAACACATTGGTTTTCTGGCAGAAGGTTTGGATGTGGGGGTGGGAGGTGGGGGGGTCACTCAGAGCTCCTGGTCTGCCAGGTCTGCAATGCTCTGTAAGGATGAGAGTGTTTATAACACCCTCAATGGAAGCAAAGTCTTTCTTACAAGGGAGTTAAACGGGGAAAAAATAAGGAAAATAATCCTGAGGATGGCATCAAGATAGAAATGTAGGCAGAAGGTCCTTTATGAAGCCCATTTCAGGGAATAGAAAAACTCCTTACCCTGCCCTGAGCACAGCTGCTGCTTTTGAGGTTCCCTGAATCTTCCAGTGTGAGCCTGAGATTTGCTTCCACATCTTCATTTAAAAGTTTTTTGATAAAAATATGGGGTTTTTTTGGAGACTGCTGTGGAAGCAGGGCCAGCCAGCCCTTCCCAGTGCTGCTTTATGGGGTCACAGCAAAGATCTTGGCTCCAGCATAAATCGGGCTCTGGGGAAAAGCAGCACTGAGAGAAACTCTTCAGAACATTAAACCATAAAAACGCTGTTGGAGTGGGAGGCACGTTCCTGGCTCTCCAGGGGTTTCAGTGCCCATCTCTGGGTATCTGTGAGTTTGTGAGCAGGTTTGGGTATTTGGGGGGGAGGTTCCTTGTCCCAGGGAGGGATTTTGCTGTGCCCCCGTGGGGAATGTCCCTTTCCCTGAGCTCCCAGCTCCCCTGCTGGATGGGATGCAGCACCCTGGCAGTGCTGGTGCTGCAGCAGCTCCTCCAGCCCCAGAAAACCATCCTGTGCTGGGATAAATCCCCCTCTCCACATTTCCAAGGTGGCATTCCTGTGCAAGCTGAGGCTGGCAGAATCCCTGGCAGAGAAGCCCGGGGCAGTCTGTGTGGGACAGAGATCTGCCATGGTCAGGATGGAGGCATCTCTGTGGAGCACATGGCTTTTCCTTTGGGCCAGCTGTGCCCTCCCATGCCTGCTGCCTCTCCAGCTCACCGGGCTGGGTTTCATCTGCAATGATGAGCTGCTTTCACAGCACCCCAGCTTTGGGGCTGCAGGGTGCAAGCAGGGCCATGTGCAGAGGGCAAAGGTTGTCAGAGGTTTTCCCTGTACACAAGCTGTGTTTGCTCAGGAAAACTCTGCTGGAAGTGGCAGCAGGCTTGGCCAGTGCAGGGAGGGCTCTGGCTGGCATGGGAGTGGGGTGTGACCATGGTGACCTGGGATGCTGGGATGTTCCAGGAGTGCTGGGATGTTCCAGGGGTGCTGGGATGCTCCAGTTGGGTGCGGGGATGTTCCAGGGGTGCTGGGATGTTCCAGTTGGGTACTGGAATGTTCCAGGGGTGCTGGGATGTTCCAGGGGTGCTGGGATGCTCCAGTTGGGTACTGGGATGCTCCAGTTGGGTGCTGGAATGTTCCAGGGGTGCTGGGATGTTTCAGGGTGCTGGGATGCTCCAGTTGGGTGCTGGGATGCTCCAGTTGGGTGCTGGGATGCTCCAGTTGGGTGCTTGGATGCTCCAGCTGGGTGCTGGGATGCTCCAGTTGGGTGCTGGGATGTTCCAGCTGGATGCTGGGATGCTCCAGTTGGGTGCTGGGATGCTCCAGCTGGGTGCCGAGATGTTGATGGTGTGCACTGCTGGGTCCCTTCCTCTCCCCTGGCAGCACCTGGGACTCCAGCGCCATCCCCACCTACGAAGAAGCCCTGACCTGCCGACCTGCCCACGCTGGCCCGGCTTATGTGCAGCCACCGGGGATGAAGGAGGAGCTGACACCGGCCCTGTACCGCTACCTGGAGGAGGAGGAGGAGGAGGAGGAAGGCCGGCAGGGCCGGCGGCGGAGCTCCTCTGACAGCGCCTTGTTCCGCCCCAGCCCGCCCTGGCCGCAGGCGACGCCGCCGCCCAGCTACGAGAACATCAACGGGAACATCAACGGGGGGCTCTGAGCCCGGCCAGCCCCAGCCGGGACCCTGCGGCTCCTGCTCCGCTCCAAACCGAGCCTCTCCCCGCTGGGGTGGGAGCAGGCTGGGCGAGCAGCGGGAAGGGTCAGCCCGGCTTTCCCCTGTCCGGGACCGCGGGCTCGGTGGGAGATGCGTTCAGAGAGTCTGGGGTAGCTGGCATGTTCGAAAACTTTCGTATTTTTAATAAAACCACCGGTGGTTTCAGAGGTTTTGCATTCCCTGCTCATGCTGGGGAGCTCCTGTCAGGCTGGGAGTTGCCCACTCAAGAATAAATCTGCAGCACAGACCGAGTAATTTGGGCAGAGAAAGGCCAGCTCTGTCTGCCCCATTCACTTCTCTGCCTTTGCAATCACCCTCCAGCCCTGCCTCCATCCCTTCCACCTTGCTTCCCTGTTACGGTGAGCTCATGGGCACCCTGTGCCCCCCTTCCCCCGGGACCTTGTGACTCTGATCAAGATAACCCCTGGATCCTCCTTCCTGCCCCAACGGGGTTGGCAGAGAGACAGGAAAGCCCACCCTGTCCAAAACCTATATAGACCCCTGAGAATTCCTGTTCTTTCTCTTTTTGCCCCGCTCTCCCATGGACACCACAGAATGAAGAGAGCTGTTCCAACACCCTGGGGTAAGAGCCTCTTTTGGATACTTTTCCCTCTCCTGGTATTCCTCCCCTCACAGCCCCTTATCTCTGAGCTAGTCGGATTTTTGGGGGGGCTGCGTGGAGGGGGGGAAAACTACAGTTGGCGCCCAACCTGGGGCCACTTCCCTGAACACCGACTCCCCACGCCTCACTCCGTTGGGTGTCAGAGATGCTCGGTGGGCCGTGCCTGTGCTCAGAGCATCCAAGTGCACTCGGCATTTCAGGCAGCCTCCTAGAAAAGCCATCCTGAGTGGCACAGCCCCCTCCCTCCCTGCCCTCCATGGCCGGCTGTGGCAGGGGCTGCTGCCAGTTCCTGCGTCCCACCGAAATTCAGCGCTGCCCTGGGCCCCTGTGGGCCTGCAGGGCTGCAGAGTGGCTCCTCAGCCACTCTGACATGCTGTTTATAATACAATTATTTGTCACAAACCAGGTGTATCAAGGGAATAAAATGAGGGAATAAATCAAGGGAATAAAACCAATACTGTCTGGCTGTCGGATGTGTGGTGGGGAGGAGACACCTTTTAACACCCCAGCTCCAACTTAAGTGTGCACAGGGCACAGGGACGCTTTGTTCTTACTCTGCCTGGGTGGACCAACCTCACTCCATCCTTTTCTGGCTTTAGTTCCTCCTTCACAGCCCAGTCTTAGCACTCAGCCAGAGCAAGGCAGGGTCTGTTCCAAGCCCCCTGGCCTCCAAAAGAGTCCGGAGCACTCCCTCTTTTCCTGCTGCAGCCCCACAGCCCTTGAGAACATGCTGGGCCCTGGCATCCATCCCCCCTTGCTGGGGCTGTGCCAGCTCTGATTTATGACCAAGTCCAGCTCCAGTGCCCAGGGCTGGGAAAATCCCAACAGCAGCAGCTGGGCTGTGGGTCCCCATCCCTGCAGCCGTGCTCCCTGTCCCCCCTGTCCCTTCCCAAGGCGTGGGGTCCGGCTGAGCGTGCCTGCAGGGAAGGTTACCCGGACACGTGCCGGGTGGCTCCACTGGAGTGTGAACGGCGGGGCAGTGTTTGCATTCATTACAAACCCATTAAAAACTGGCTGGCTCAGCCCTGGGCAGGACCAGCTCAACGTGCAGCTGATCCTCAGCTCCTGGCAGCCTCTGGAAAGAGAAACCACTCCTCGCCTTACGCCGCAGGTGTGCTCAGCAGGCAGCGGCCCAGGTGAGCGGCTTCCCAAAATCTCTCCTGCTGCCTCCCCCACCCGGAGCCCATGGCAGAGGAGAAGACCTTCCGCTATGGGTTCATCATCTTGGGCTTCTTCCTGGTGATGCTGGGGATGTTCATCATGAGCGTGGAAAAGCCCCAGTACTACATCACCTTCTGCGTCCTGGGTGTGCTGCTCGTAGCCGTGGGCATCACATGGAGCATGTGCCAGTGCTACCCAAAGGTAGGATCCTTCCTGCTGCTGATCATTCCTGCTTCCTTCCCTCTGCGGGGCTCGAGGGCTCAGCCGGGTTTTGGGGGGCTTTGGCAGCTGTGGATGTGCAGCCTCAGGCTGTGCCTCAGTTTCCCCAGGGGAAGCCAGCTGCAGCAATCTGGAAGGGGAATTGTTTCGGGAGGTTTGTGCCCTGCTGATGCCTGCGGGATGTGCCCTGTCTCCTTCACCCCCTGAGCCTGGGGCTCTGCTTTCAAACAGGCAGCAGGGAGTAATCCCAAAGAAATAAACTTGTATTCATCTCTCCCACACAGCCCCTTCCTTGGGGTCTGGGGCTTGGCAGGCTCCCAGGACTCCCAGGAAGGGACTGTGGTGGCCATGGAGGTCGGAGGGTCCTGGATTCCTGAGCCCAGCCCTCCCCTGGCAGTCTCCTTGGCAGAGGGCACCGCCAGCAGGAGCGCAGCCACGCGTCCCTGCCCTGGGAACGGGGCTGGCAGAAAAGGGCTTTTTCCAAGAAGAGGGCATCTGTAGGACTGATCTGGGCACTGCTGGGTGCCTCGTCAACAACCTGGCTGCCCTCCAAAATCTGGGGGAGCCACCTCAGGACCCAGGACCTGCTGGGACCTCTGGAAGCTGCTGTGTTCTCTGGGACTGGGGTGGAGCAGAAACCAGTGGCACCCAAAGCTGAGGTCAGCCCCAGCTGGGAGGGAGATGTGGCTTTGCCACCACTCTTGAGGCTCAAGGATGGGACACCCTCAGTGGTCCCTGACCACTGACCTCCTGTGTGGGCCTCGGGACTCCCTCTGAGCTTGGGGACACATGTGACTCCACAGGGGGAGGGCACTGAGAGCAGGGCTTTGCTGGATTCATTCATTCCTTTCTGATTTCCCTCGAAAAAGCCATTTCCAATGAACACATCCAAATACGGTGGGAAAAGACCCTAAACCCAGCTGAAAGGACACTCTGGCCCTTTTCCCACTGTGAGGCCCGAGGGTCCCCATGATGCCCAGCACAGCCCCTGGGCTCTGCTCTCTTTTCCCCCCAGATAACCTTCATCCCTGCGGACCTGGAGGCCGAGCGGTTCCTGGACCACAAACCCACGGTGCTGCCACAGAAGGACAGCGGGTGGGTCCCACAGCAGGGTGGTGTGTGTGCCCTGAGGGCAGGGTCTGGCACTGCAGCTCGAAATGCCAAGCAGGGACCAGGCTGGGAGAGGCAAGTGCTGCCTGAGCCCCTCCCAGGGCTGTGCCTGAGTGATGTAGAGCATCCAGCAGTGTTCCTGCAGGCACCCCCTGGCTCTGCTGCTGGTGTGGGCAGTGACATGGCCTTGATGGCCTCTAAAGCCACTCCCTCAGGTGATGGAGCCCTGTGTGCATGTGCTTGAGCATCTCCCAGCTCCGTGGGGTCCAGGTCTGCTCAGCACCCTGTTCTCCCTTTGCCTGCAGCTTGATTGCCCCCTGCCCCAACCGAGAGGCCAGCAGCACCTACGAGAAGAGCCTGCCATCCTACGAGCAGATTCAGAGGCAGGTGGGCAGCTCAGCCCCATCCCCAGGCACGGCACAGCCCCGATCCCAGCCGGCCGTGCAAGCCACAGCAGAGATCCACCGGGAGCTGGGGGCACCTGGAGAGCCCCCCCAGGACCTGGCACCTCACCTGGGAACAGCAGCAGGCAGCTGGTATGTGGTGTCTGTGGGATTGGGGTGAAAATGGGGGGATCAGACCCCCAGAATTGGGGGAGGGAGAGGGTGCAGAGGGGTTTTTGCTGCTCTCGCAGCACCGAGCCTCCACACCCTTGGTCCCACTGAATGGTGGGGATGGTGTCTCAGCCCACGAGGGTCCTCAGAACCAAATTATTTCCCAGGAGGAAATGAAGATGGCCTTTGGTTGTAATTTGCATTTTGATGTTTGCATTTTTGCATTTTGCTTTTATTTCACTTTATCAACACAAACAACGTCCCTCACAAGAATAACACCAAAGTTCCTGCTCAGGCTTTGATAGAAATGAGATGCACAGCGCATCATCCTCAAACCAAGTGCCACATATGATGCCCAAGTGTTGATTTGGGAGGTCCCAAAGGGCTCTGCAGGTGATTGGGGTCACTGTCCAGGCTCAGGGCATAGGACTTGGTGCAATGCTTTCCCATCCCAGCTGTAGATTCAGGAAATGCAAGGACAGCCACTGCTTCACCCCATGGGCAGCAGGAACCTGGCAGGCAGGTATCCCCAAAAAAGCAGGCACCAAGGGCTGGGGTAAGGACAGACCTCCCAGGTCCCTCCAGTCACCCAGCGAGGGGACCGGTGATGCTCCGGGGGGTCCGCAGCTCCTGCCCAGCCGTGTTTGGTGTCACCCTGTCCCCGCAGCCCCGCCCGGCCAGCCCCGGGGGATGCTCCGCTGGCATCCCTGCTGGAGGAGATGGACACGCCATCGCTGGAGGGCAGCCCCACGCCACAGAGCCGCACCCTGCCCTGCTCCACCCACCCCAGCCACCCCCCGAGCAGCTCCCCGGGGCGGGGAGAGCAGCCCCGATCCCCCTGGAAAGGCCCTGGGAAGGAGGATGATCTCTACTACGGGCTCCAGGAGGAGCCGGATGCTCTGCTCAAGGAGAGTGATGGCCTCTCTGAGCCTGAAAACTGATTTCCTGGGAAGAATGGCCACTTGGCATGGACTCACCTCATGGAGAGGATACACAGGTCACAGCCTGGAGGAAAGGGGGCTGTCCCCAAAAGTGCAGTGGCCCCAGGATCCTGCCTGTCCCCGTGCTGTGGTGCACCCCTTGTGCAACCCAGCCACTCAGGAGTTTGTCATTTCCCCCAGACCCAAAGGGGGAACACCCTGCTCCTGAATTCAACAGAATATGGGACAAGGCCTCTTTGCCAGAGCCATTTGGGTGGGCACAGAGAAGCTGGGCTGGGCAGGGTCTGGGCTAAATACTGTGCTTGGGAAGGGAATGGATTGGCTGCGCTGTTTGGAACAGGGTCAGGTTTAGGTAGGCAAAACCTGCTCAGTGCAGGTGGGTTTTATCAGGCAGAGGTGTCCTCAAAGTCTTTTTCCCACTTACCCAAGCTCTGCTGAAATTAAAATGTGATCCTGAGTCTCCTGCAGCAGGCAGCCTTCATATCTCCAGGCTGGGAGAGGGGTGATGGAGGTGACAGATGGTGCTGTCCCCTGCACAAGCACCAGCTTCCAGTACTCCTGGGGGCACAGGGAGGAGAACACAGCTGAGCCAAACCCCTGGTGATGGCACTTGAGGTGGTGGCTTTGCACATGGTCTGCTGGGTCAGTGTCAACAGCTGCAGGTGGCTTTGCTGGCTCCCATCGTCCCCAAATTTCCTATGAATAAAAAACGTTTGCTCCAAACCATGTGGATGGATCTCAGCCTGCTTTGTCACCATGACAGGGACAGCACAGGGGCTCTCCACAGCCTGTCTCCAGCACACAGAGATGGCAAGCTGGTGGCAGCCACAGCCTTTGGCTGCTCAGGACTGCAGGGATCTGTGAGGCTGAGCTCCCCCGAGTCTGGATCAAAGCATGAGTGCATCCAACAGCACGGGGATGCTGAGAGTCCCTTGCTTTGTTTTGGGAAGGCTGGGCTGGGTCTGCCTGTGCCTGGCCCCACCTGTCTGCTGGCAGGGGAGACTTCAGCAAAGTCCACAGAATCACAGAACTGAGCTGGAAGGAGCTTAAACCCCCTGCAGTTCCAACCCCCCAGGCACAAAAGTGGGGGAAAGCTGTCCCCCAGCACCCCGCAGGATGTTCTGTGCTCCCTTGCCAGCCAGGGAGTGCAGGGTGTGCAAGAAAAGGCTGTACCTGAGGTGCCACACCCCTGTGACACTCCTGCACCCTTCACTCACCTTGGTGTCACCAAAGCAGCCAGGCAGAAGGGCAGGGAGCACCGACACACTTGGGGTGTTTATGGCCAACAGGAGGGTGGGGAATGAAGGCTCCAGTGTTGGCTAAACATTGCCACAGGGCTGTGAGACGCTCCCCAGGGGGAAGCATTACCAGACTGATTGCATGGACTCAGCTCCTGCCTGTCCTTCCCAGGCTGGGGGAGCGTGGTGGCTCTGGGAATGCTGTTTGGATGGAGCCACACCCTCATCCGAGGGCAGAATGTCGCTGTGTCACTGCTCCTGTGGAGTGTGGGAATCTGGTGGGAACACAGAAGCTTTTACCTATAGAACCACAGAATGTTTGGGCTGGGAAAGGACCTTGAAGATCAGCTTGTTCTAAGTCCCCAGCCATGGGCAGGACACCTTCCACTAGACCAGGTTGCTTCAAGACCCGTCCTTGAATGTGTCCAAGGATGGGACACCCACAGCTTCCCTGGGAAAACTGTGCCAGGGCTTCACAGTCCAAAATCCCTCCCTGCTCCCCTGTATCTCTGTACTGGAAAGAGCTCTAAGGTCTCTCTGGAGCCTTCTCTTCTCCAGGCTGAGCCCTCTCCCAGAATTTCCTCACAGAAGAGATCCCCACCGCATGGCTCGCCACTCACTTTCATTTTTGGCAAAAGAAATCTATTTTCCAGAAGCATTTCTCCAGGCATAGGCAGGGAAGGGGGCTCACAGAGGGTCTGGACCCCGTGGAACCCTTCACGCAGCCGGGTGTGCATCCCCCCATCCCCGGCACAACATCCTTGAGCCGGACTCGGCTCCCGCGCCGGCCGCGGTTAAACATTGCGGGACCGGGACATTCCTGCATGGCATTAAGCGGCGGCAGCAGCCCCGGCTCTGCCTCAGCTTGTGCGGGGGGGTTCCTCCCGCTGCCCACGCGTGTCACCGCCCGTGGGACCCCGCTGGGACGGGAATGGCCCGAGCCTTGCTGGCCCGCGGGGGTGGTGGCAGCAGCGCACCAGTGGTGTAGTGGTATCATGCAAGATTCCCATTCTTACGACCCGGGTTCGATTCCCGGCTGGTGCAACGTAGGGCTCTCCCGAGACCTCTGGGTTGAAGTATTGCAATATTACAATGTTTGGATATACACAGATTTTCCTAAAATCTATGGAGAACCTTCCTTTTACCGACGGGATGCTCCATCTCTCCCCGCGAAGGGACCGCAGCAGGAATTTAGGAGTCATTCACCAGGTCGGTGGGGATGCGGGTGGGGACTCGCCGGACAGCGCCGATATCATCCCGCAAAAATGACATTTGCCATGTGTGACGACTCTGTAAAAAATACCCAAACAGGATTAGAGGATTTCACGGGAAATTATTCGTGGAGTGAGGCGGTAGGAGGCACATTAAAGCTTTCAGCCCTTTCTGAAAACACTCCTTGAGCGGCTGCGCTTTGCTCGCCAGAGCCCGCAGCGACCCGCCGGGACTCGGGGTGAGCAGCGGCCCCGTTTGCCCTTTCCCCGCGGCCCCGTTAATGCTTAACCCGCCCGGCGGCACGGGCAGAGCCGGGAGCACCGGGAGCACCGGGAGCACCGGGAGCTCAGATCCGCGGGTGCGCACCGGGAGCTCAGAGCCGCGGGTGCGCACCGGGAGCTGCGCGGGTGCGCACCGGGAGCTCAGAGCCGCGGGTGCGCACCGGGAGCTCAGAGCCGCGGGTGCGCACCGGGAGCTCAGAGCCGCTGGTGCGCACCGGGAGCTCAGAGCCGCGGGTGCGCACCGGGAGCTGCGGGGGTGCGCACCGGGAGCTCAGATCCGCGGGTGCGCACCGGGAGCTGCGCGGGTGAGCACCGGGAGCTCAGATCCGCCGGTGCGCACCGGGAGTTCAGATCCGCGGGTGAGAACCGGGAGCTGCGCGGGTGCGCACCGGGAGCTCAGAGCCGCGGGTGCGCACCGGGAACTCAGATCCGCGGGTGCGCACCGGGAGCTCAGAGCCGCGGGTGCGCACCGGCAGCTCAGATCCGCGGGTGCGCACCGGGAGCTCAGATCCGCGGGTGAGCACCGGGAGCTCAGAGCCGCGGGTGCGCACCGGGAGCTCAGATCCGCGGGTGAGCACCGGGAGCTGCGCGGGTGCGCACCGGGAGCTCAGAGCAGCGGGTGCGCACCGGGAGCTCAGAGCCGCGGGTGAGCACCGGGAGCTCAGATCCCCGGGCGCGCACCGGGAGCTCAGAGCCGCGGGTGAGCACCGGGAGCTCAGATCCGTGGGTGCGCTCCGGCCCCTCTCGGTCGCGCAGGGATCGCTGCCGGTGCCGTCCCCGGTGCCGTCCCCGGTCCCGGCGCTGCCCGTGGGTGCGGGATGCCCCTGCGGGCGCTGGCGCTGGCACTGGCGGAGCTGCTTCTGGCCCTGGGGCCGGCCCAGGAGGGCGAAGCCGCCGTCGGGGCCGCCCCTCCGGGATCCGCTGCTTTCCATCGCGCCGCCAAGGTGAGGAGCACGGGGTGGGGGGACAGCCACGCTGCCGCGTGTGTCCCCCGAAGCCCAGCCCGTTGCTCGTGTCCCCGCAGGCGTCGTGGCGGCTGCCCGGGCGCTACGTGGTGATGCTGCGGGCGGGCAGCGAGGCAGAGCTGCCAGGCACGGTCCGGCGGCTGCGGGACCGGGTGGCTCGGCGGGGACACCGGGCCGAGCTGCTGCACGTCTTCCACCTCCTGCCCGCCTTCCTGGTGAGGATGAGCAGCGATGTCCTGGACACGGTGCGTGGCGTGAGGACAGGGTCGTGGCAGGGGATGGCACTTTGGGGGGAAACAGGAGCTTTGTGTCCTCCCCGCAGGCGCTGAGGCTGCCGCACGTGAGGTACATTGAGGAGGATTCCTACGTCTTTGCCCAGAGCATTCCCTGGAACCTGGGCAGGATCGTGCCACCGCAGCCCAGCTCGGGCACCTACCGCCCTCCCAGTAAGCGCTGGGGTGTGTGAGGGGGGCGATGCTTCGAGGAAGAGTCAGGACCCCTCTCCTTAATTGAGGAATGGGAATATTCCTTTGCCTCGTGGTGCTGTGGGTCTGGAGCTGCATTTTGGGAGCAACCCAGGTGGCCTGTGCTGACCGTGATGGTGGTTGCCTTTCTCCCCTGCTGCATCCCTGGCAGATAAAGGTGACCTGGCCGAGATTTACCTGCTGGACACCAGCGTGCAGAGCACCCACCGGGAGATCGAGGGCAGGGTGACTGTGACTGGCTTCGAGAGCATCCCCGAGGAGGATGGCACCCACTTCCACAGGCAGGTGAGTCCTGAGGTGCCACATGCTGCATCCTGGCCAGAGCACATCCACCAAATCCTGGCCAGGTTTGTGAAGCTTTCCAGGATGAGGGAGACACTTGGCCTGGACCAAAATGGATGGATGGCTGGATGCTGGGCAGGATGTTGGGGGGGGATACTGAGACCCTCAAGGTGGTCTATTTGGATATATGGCTGAGTCGGGCACTTTGTAGGAAAGTGTTCTAGGGTGGCACGGGTGTGTGTCGGGTAAGATGGAATCAAGGTGGGAAGGAGTCAGGGGATGCTGTGGGATTGCAAACCTGCTTTGATGCAATGGTGCCCGTGCCAGGCCAGCCAGTGTGACAGCCACGGCACCCACGTGTCCGGGGTGCTGAGCGGGCGCGACGCCGGCGTGGCCAGGGGCTCCAGCATCCACAGCCTCCGCGTGCTGAACTGCCAGGGCAAGGGCACCGTCAGCGGGACCCTCATGGGTGAGTGACCCCACGGCCCGAGAGGAGCAGCATCCCTCCTGGAGCTCCTGCGATGGTGCCTTGTCCCTGGCAGCCCTGGAGTTCATCGGGAGGAGGTTGGAGGCTCAGCCCTACGCTCCGTTGGTGCTGCTGCTGCCCTTGGCCGGCGCGCAGAGCCCCACGCTGAACGCGGGCTGCCGGCGGCTGGCACGGCTGGGAGCGGCCGTGGTGGCAGCTGCTGGCAATTACAAGGACGATGCCTGCCTCTACTCGCCTGCGTCCGAGCCTGAGGTACGGCTGGGAGCACCCTGAGGTACCACCTCATCTCCTGCAGCTCCGTGTCGGCGGCGTGGGCGAGCCCACCCGTGCTCCCTGTCACTGGCAGGTCATCACGGTGGGTGCCACCGACAGCGAGGACCAGCCTGCCTCCATCGGCACCCTGGGCACCAACTTTGGCCGCTGCGTGGATCTGTTTGCCCCGGGGGATGACATCGTGGGTGCCTCCAGTGACTGCAGCACGTGTTTCACAGCGCGGAGCGGCACCTCGCAGGCGGCCGCGCATGTGGCAGGCGAGCTGAGCTTCGAGGGGCAGGGAGGGCTGGAGCAGCTTGCTGCTGCTGGCACAGGCCTCCAGGCAGGCCTGAGCTGGGGGCAGCTCTGTGTTCCACCACTCACGGGTTTGCTGAGCCGTGTGTTGGCCTAGGTGGCCGTGTCCCCTCTGGTTGTCACTCCCGGGCTCTTGCAGGCATCGCGGCCGTGCTGCTCAGCGCCGAGCCCCAACTGAGCCCGGCCCAGCTCCGCCAGCGCCTCCTGCG